CTCGTTTGAGCAGACACGTTAAATGAAACGAATGCATGTGAACGGAAGACTTTTTTGAATACGCATACTGTAACGCAAATGTTCCCGTGTGAGTGGGGCCTGAGACCATAGGCTGAGCCGCCGAATCCCTCGGAACATCATAAAAGCCATTTTAAACGGTTTTCTGGTGAAAGATTAACTAGCTACTGGATGAAATAATATGACTGGTGGCATAGGTGCGAAAATTAAACACTTTTTGAAAAAAATATTATGATAAAATATTTTTATATATTTATAATTCTGCAAATATTACGATAAACTCATAGCTATTTCGCGGCCCGGCAGTAACACCTGGGAACCCCTGGTCTAAAGTACGCCTCCCGATGACTCGATGCGTTACTGGATGACTAAAATATTTCTGCAGTCCTCAAACCCCCAACCATTACATAGATGTGCCAGAGAATGTTTTATGTTGATTGGTGTATGCACCATCATACAGTGTGTCAACATGACTGAGGGTATGGATTTATAAACAGCAATGCAAAAGTGGACCTATCATGCTATATTTGAATAATATAGTGTAGGACCATACCTATATAAGGCATATTTATACTTTTTTTTTTTCAAAATACCAAACAGATCATGCATTTTAGCCATGCCTCATTTTGCTCAATTTGACAATTTCTAGCTCTGTTTTTGCAAGGGCTGATTCAGTGAGAACAGCACCATCTACTGGCCTGGCATATGTACTACAGCGTCTCCAGCGCTTTCGAACGGCAATGGCCGTGGCTGTCTCCTCCTGATTGGTGGAGTTGGCCCAATAGCCGTAGCGCCACTTTCCTGACGTCAGGACAGTGTTCAAATCTGGATCAGTTTTTATCAGATCCGTTGCAGCCCCTTTTTTAGAGATTTGGGTATGGAGGAAAATAGAGAGGGTTGTGTTTTCTGACACTTGGTGACACATATTCATGTATAAAAGACGTACAAAAGTACATTTTGCATGATAGGTCCCCTTTAAATTACTGTTGGAGTCAAAGCGTTTCTGCTTGTACAGTATGGGCTACTGCCCTGCGTCAGCTTTGAAATAATGGCTTGTTGGATGTAGTAGTTCAGCATAATGTAGTTGTCTACCCCTACCCACCCCCCCCCCCCCCCCCCCCCCCCCCCCTAAAACGCCGCAATTGGACTTGTTTGTTTTCTTCCGTAACATAAAGACAATGCTCCAACACATTGTAAATGATAGGCTAAGGGCCGGGATATCTCTTAGCGGTTGACCAATCACAATAGAGCTGGCCAGCTAACCAATCAGAGCAGACTGGGCTCTGGTTTCAGACAGAGGGTGAAAAGAGGTGCTGCAGCACAGGCAGTATGAGAAAAATAAAGAGCTTTTTTAACATTAAAGCATGGAGACATGTCACAGTAGAGACTCAAAATACAAATATGAACCTGAACATGAGCATAAGAGAGCCCCTTTAATTTCACTCAGTGTGCTGTAAATGTGCAATGATAGAAACTTGATCTTGTTCTGATTCAGTTCAAATCCTGAGATTCCATTTATGTTGTTATATATCCTTGTTGGAAGTCACAGAAGACAGACATTAAGTCTGATGCTTTAAATGGTTCTTCATGTAACACAGATATTGTTTCGGCATTTATGAACCACAGAATTTGTGCCGTGACTTAGTGTGTACAGACGGCCACACCCATCGCAATACTGAATGGGATCTCATAGTTTACATTTTTCCGATGTTGAGCAGTATTGACTAATTATCTTTGTAATGTATTTCTATCCTGCTGACACTTTATCTATATTTTTCCCCAGCATATTACCCAACATGTCCGTATATTAACAAGTAACTTACTCAATGGTTCTGTAAGATAAAAAAAAGTCATATAAAAGGTCCCCAATGGAACTATTAGCCGCGTTCACACCGGAGTACTTTTCACCGTACTTTTCGCGTTTAGTTCCGTATGTCGCGTTTACACCAAAAAGAGCACTAAATCTAGGGAATTTTTACCCCCATTTTTAGTGCCTGCTGAGAGATGGTACTTTCCTGGGGGAAAGAAGTGCCCCTGTTGTGGCCGGCACTAAATACGGCAAAGTACTTGGTGTGAACGCGCCTAATGAATCATTTTATGTACTAAAACTTTTTTTATTTCTGTAGAGTATAACATTGGCTATTTTATTGTCAGCCACTTCTTATGGCGGAGTCTGTAAAAAATGTTGTCATACAAAAAGTCTTAACAATAATTACACACTTTAGTTTTTAGTTTTTATTATTTTGACATGCACAGTATCATAAGATCCCAAAAAAACACAGTGTTGAATCTATTCCTAACAAATGAAAACAATGCTCAAGAATAAACGAGACAATGCAATACACATTTAAAAAATAAATACAAGCTTTTCAATTACAAGCCAACAACAAGGCATTTAATCTATTTCTTAGAAAATAAAAGGCAACAGTTCTCAAGAATAAATGAGAGACAATGTTATCAATGCAATCCATTAAAAAAAAATTCAATACAAGCTTTTTAATTTATACTTATTAGAGGCTCGACTGAATGTGTCACTACGTCATCAAAGTCCCCATTTACCTATTCAACTTCAATACACAGAGATCAATACCAAATGCACAAAGAACATGTAGAAGCAGTGGCCGATTTTTATATCTTATTGCCAAATGTTTAGCCATTTGTTTAACCCATTCAATTAGATATTTCAATCAAGACAACACAGTGTTGTATGCGTCATATAGTTAATTGTTTAATTTGTTTTTTGACAGTAACATCCTGTACTGGCTACTCTTCCAATTGTTCTTGACAGTTTTCTGTTTTTTGACTCAAGGTGCTTAGAGATTCAGTATTTTTTTTACTATTTGTTAAATGGATATTTTAATTTCATAACAAAAAGGAGGGTTGTCATCCATTTCTGCAAAATGGTTTTGGTATTGAATGTTGTTTAGAGAAGGGGGCGTGATCACAAGACAACCGCGACTATATATTAGAGCAGTATGATTTCATTAAAAAGTTCTTGCTTTGTTAGCTTTCTAGAGGTAGTGTGTGAGTCAGTGTGTCTGTCTTTTGTACACCTCATACAAATAAACACAATGTACATGTACTTTCTTTATGGAGTATATATTCTGTTTTACAGTATGGCTCTGTAACCAGTCGGCTACCAAAACGCTTCAACCTGGTTGTTTGTAAGATATCTTTTATTTTCCTAGCGTCCTTCAAGATAACATCATTTACAATCTCATTTCATTTGTGACAAAATGTAGCAACAGGGTATCGATTATCTGTATCATCCCTATCAAAAATCCATCGTAGTGCTTGAAGGTTGAATAAGGTGTCGAAGATGGAGAAAATAAATCTAGTATTCTCTCCCAATTACATAACGTGACAGAACAGCGGTGAACCCTGAACTTCATTCTTCTGCTGGTAGAGGAAGAGTTTATCAGGAATACCCTTTCATCACAGTGTTGTCCAGACACTTTCAAAAAAGATGTGGTCCCTATGTGTGTGTATCAGTCTACATACATAAGTTGTAATAGCCAATGATGCATCCTCTGCGTGTTCTACAAACCTATTGATATTCTCGGCTGTTCAGAAATTCTGTCTCGGAAAAAAAATGTAAGTAAGAAAAACAAACATGTGATGGTGTTGCTAGAAGAAACAGTTCCCTTGTATGGGATAAACTATTTCTTATCAAACAAGTATCCCCTCATCCTGCGGAGACCGTGCTTTTTGCTTGAGATAATCAATTAAGCCATTTATGATGTTTTGGAATAAAGACACCTCAACTGTTACTTGTACTTCTATACACCACTATGGTAACAACAACGATTTGTAGAGAAAGCGCTTAAATGTCAGACAAATGATGCAGCAGTCTGCGTCACAGCCACTCTTTAAAACATTTACTATAACGGACCGTCTCCACAGCAGCGTTAAAAAAATCTTGGAGGTGGGCGTATCTGAGGCTTGGGGATTTTTTTGCGATCAACCAATCACATGAATCTCCCGCCCGCGACATACGAAGCCAAAAAGCCAGAATTAAACTGGATATAAACTCCCCAAAACAGGCGAAAACATACCACTGTCTCTGCCACCTCCCTCCATGCCTGGCTCCTCCGGTTTATATCCCGGTAGGTCTGGTCATAAAGCACCGGGTGATTGATTCGCTACCGCTAATTTCTCCTCCATTTTTTGGAATATGAGGAAATGACCTGCGGTATGTCTCTCCCAGCATACACGCCGTTTGATTGGCTAGAGCTTGAACTGCCAGATTTGCGTACACGGGATTTGATTGGCTGACGCTTCCACCTCAGCTTCAAAAGTTGAACATTGTTCAACTTTGAATCTTGAAAATCCTGAGAATCTCCGCTCGCCTGCCCACAATGCATTTCGGCGAAAAGTGAGGGAAAGTGACGTCACCCCATTCAAAGTGAATGGGCAGAAGCGTTTCAAGATTTTTTAACGCTGCTGTGGAGACGGCCCGTAAGTAATGTACTAAAGTACGTTCCACACGCACTCTCACTTGCCTGTTCTACTTATACCCTGGGGAATGAAAATCGGCTACACACTCATTTTAAAAGCTTTTATTTTCATAGTTCTCACAGTTCAAAGAGTTACAAATAAATGATTTAAGGGGATTGAGATTGTTTTATTTTAATTATTAACAAATCAAATGAAAGGAGAATAAATCTTTATTCTACTAACAAGCACGGACAGTATAGTCAAAGCCTTATTTCTTTGTGAAAAAAACCAGTACTGTGCGCCTTCAACTGTATCATGTGGTTTCTCATGAGTTTTTTTCCGTGGAACTATTTCATCCACTTAAAAGTGTCTAGGTCTATTGTGACTGAGCAAAGTCCATCGGCTAATGAGGACTGTGCGATACGGTCAAAAGCTCCTGAACTTGAGAGTTCCTTGACTGTTTTGTAAAGCATGCTGTGTCTTTGAACTGTCTAATCAACTGTCTAGGTAAACTGCATTTATGTTCAGAAACTGTTCAAACAGACTTTTAGCTTTCAAATTATATCGATATATTTAATATAAAGCCACCACCAGCGGTTAGTTTAGCAAAGTTTATCACACAATCTGGAAACAACGGAAAAGAGCTAAATCTGCCTACCAGCAAGTATAAAGGTCAAAAATAAATACCAACAAATAAGTATACCTTTGGAGGGAGGCACTTCTCCCCCCATTTACAGTCTTTATGCTAGACTCAGCTAATGGGTTGTAGCTTGAGAATACATAATAGAGTATAATAGCATACACCAAAGCGGTGTTGACTTTCCCATCAAACATCCAGCAGGAAACCAAATAAATTCGCAAATCTTCTGCAAAAAAAGCCATAAATTGTCATTATATTTCATTAAAATGAACACCAGTCTAGATGTTATACAGTGGTATAATGGTAGAATGCATTATATGTTTGGTTTTGGACCACATTTTTTGGTAAGAAAGTTATAAGAACAGTTTTATCCTCAAAATAGAATCACACCATTATCACATTATCCTTAACAACATGTAGATTGCTGCTTAAAATGTAAAGAGAAGCCAACATACAGTACATGCATCAGACAGGGTAAACAAGGAAAATGGGTGTCACTTTTGTAAACACTTTAAGAGGCAAACTTATGAAACATGAGCAGCTGTCACTTAATTTAAACATTTAGTACATACAGTAAATGGCAGACGTCATCCCTGAACGGTTATTCCTTTTTTCTGGAATGTACTGAAGTATATCTATTACAGATTAAACCTGAAGTATTCGATTAAACATTTCTTCTTCTTTCTGTGCTCAATATTAATGTTTTTGTTGTGTTCTGCTGTACAACCTTTGGTATGTGATGTGAAATGCATGATTTTTTATGAAATGTGGACGCCACTTGTCGCTTTAGCTTCTTTCACATATTTATATTACTCAACAGTAAATAGGTATTTTTTTAATGGGCTACGTTGGTTTAGGGGTGTAAAGACACTTGCAAGCACATTGTTAATTCTTAACAATTGCTTAGTTGGCTCAACTTTCACAGCATGTAACATATTGTGCAAACACCCCGTCTCTTTCATTGTGACCGCACGTAAAAGAAGCCATTATTACCCTGCTCATTTTGTCATAACGGCACACACAAGTTGTACCGGAAAAAATACAATACAAATACAAGTGTTTTCTAGTGATAACATTTGTGACATCATGAGACGACTTATTCTCCCACATAACCAGCACAAAGTCTTTCAACCCTAAAGGCTTTCACTCCACGAACTGCTGCAAAGTGGTCAGTACGTCTGCTTTGCTCTTGTCACCAGCATGACTCATGCTAATGTTGTTGTCCTTGATGGTGTTGGAGGCATGGCAGGGGCCCCAGCCGAGGCACCCCGAGCCCAGCTGCTTCACCTCCCTTCTGAAACTCTTGCTGAAGATGTAGTAGATCAAAGGATTGTACACAGTGGAGCTCTTTGCAAACATGCACGGGAGGAGACTGACTTCAGGTGGGATGCTGCTGCTGTCCCCCAGAATAGACCACATGCTGACGATGGCATAGGGTGTCCAGCATACTATAAAGCCAAAGCTGATGAGCACAGCAATCTGCAATAGAATCGAAGAACAGTCATTCAAAATGTGAAAATATAAAAAACCTTCCTATGGTTTTTTATAGATGTTTTGTCCCGCATTCCCATCCTGAATTCTGTCAGCTAGATGCCCTTTATACCATGTGTTGCAATATTTTTGTAAACATTTTCAACTGTATTGTCCTTGGTAATTATAAAATCAGAATGAAAATTAAATTCCACCATGTTTGTCAGTCTCGGGGCAACAACATACATCTTGTACTAAGCAGCTGATCTTAGATTCAAGAATTTCATTAAACAAACAAATTATTGCTAGCTATCCTTAGCAAAGAGTGGCTTGAAAAAAGTTTGGAGTCCTCTATACCAGGGGTTCCCAACCTTTATTGTGCCAAGGACCGGTAGATACATTAAAAAAAAATCGCGGACCGGTTGTCAATTTTAACTGATTTTAATATTTACTCACCACCAGCAGGTAGCAACAGAGGCTAATTGTATGTAACAGCCTGAACAAATACTAGAACAATATGCATCCAAAACATATTAACAAAGTTTAAAAAAGAACCGACGTTATTCAGTTTTTAAACCAAAACGGTAAAACAGATAAATCAACGTTTTGGTTTTGTTTGTATGATTTACGGATAATCCAGTGAATGCTGGGAAAACGAGGAGAAGGCGCATTATGAAGGGTGTGTGTGTGTGTGTGTGTGTGTGTGTGTGTGTGTGTGTGTGTGTGTGTGTGTGTGTGTGCGCGTGCGCGCGCGTGTGTCACTGGCATTTGTTTTCAGAAGATATTATGATAGTGTCGTTCGTTCCGGTGCACTCCCGACAGCATAGCACTACATCGAGATTAAGATTAAACTAATTTATTTTGGGAACAGCCGCATATATGCCGGTGTCGGACAGACACAAACACACCGAACACACAGAGCTGAGCTGAGCAGAGCACATACACACACACATCATGCGCCTTGGTGACTGACTGGCATCTCCTTCATAAAACTAATAAAAGGGGGAGTAATCGGGCAGTTCGATGTGTGTAGATGTGTGTGTGGTTAACACGTAGCAGCCTGCAGTCACTCTTAACCTGTTCTGATTAAGTTAAACACAGCGAAGGCGGTGCGTAAAAAGGCACAGCTCTTTACCGAGTATACGTCCCGCTGCCTCCTGATGTTGCAGCCATTTCATGAAGTGAAGGAGGATTTCCTTCTATAAAGCAGCTGCGGGCAGCAGATACCGTGAGAGTCCCGGACATTAATTCATAGATCAAGGCAGACTGGTTTACTCTCCTGTTTTGCCAATCCGGTGCTTAAACAAATAGCTCTACACCCCTGGCCGACATGTCCTTAAAATGAAGTCCGACTTTGAAATATATCTCAAATAATGTATGCACCACCATTTCCCCACATAAACATAACAGTCTGCAATCAAACGGTTGTCTCCTGTGCGCTCCTCTTCCTACTTGGCGCACCGGTAACATGCTCGTGCGCACAAGAGGCTGAGACCTAAGGCTGAGCCGCCGAATCCCTCGGAACATCATAAAAGCCATTTTCAATGGTTTTCTGGTGAAAGATTAACTAGCTACTGGATGAAATAATATGACTGGTGGCATAGGTGCGAAAATTAAACACTTTTTGAAAAAAATATTATGATAAAATATTTTTATATATTTATAATTCTGCAAATATTACGATAAACTCACAGCTATTTCGCGGCCCGGCAGTAACACCTCTGCGGCCCGGTACCGGTCCGCGGACCGGGGGTTGGGAACCCCTGCTCTATACCATTGTTTTCCAACTAGCGGTAGGCTACTTGAACCCAAGAGTCTTTTTTCAAGATTGTAGAGTAGCTAAACGTAACTAAAAACAAAATATCTTTACATATTGAGTTGGTTGTATATGTGCTACAGATGAGTGTGTGAAAATGTACACCATTTAACTCTAAACAATAGATACATTATTTAAATAGCTAAAAGTTATATATCAACAGTTCAAATAGGATTCGGATGAAGTAATTGAAATAGCAAGCTAAAACTAATATAAGACGGCGTCGCTACACCAGAATGTGATTAAGTGTACTTGTTACATAAGCAGCCACTGGGACTGTTTGCATTTGTGAATTTTAAATATGAATGAATCTTTAAATAACCTGCCACTGTTAATATAACAGGACAAACAGGAATCTGAATTACAATGACAGGTGTCTCATCGGTGAGAGTCACTTACCACCAACAGCCTTCGATGGAGCTTGACATTATTGGGGACTCGGTTGATGTTGGAAATTGACTTTTTGTAAGTGAAAAAGAGCTTGATGGCTATGCCAAAGTAACAGCAGAGTATGATGATGGAAGGCAGGACGAGGTTGAAGGTAAATAAACTGACGACGAAGGTGAAACCCTCATGTTTCATTTGTCCCCAGGCCAGAGAGCAGGACAGGCCGAAGGGCTCTGGGCCGTAACGCCCCCAGCCCAGGACGGGCAACAGAGCCCAGATCAGACCATACAGCCAGACCCAGAGACAGAGAATCTTCACCTTTCTCCAGCCGATTTTCTCATCTGCAGAGTAAAAAAAAGGTGTGCTGTTTTTATTTGTGGCTCTGGTTGTTTACCCACGGTTCATTGTAGACAAATGGTCCTTTATTAAGGCACTATGTGTAGTTGTTACATTTTATTCAAAAAAGAGGGGCTGTATTCCTGAATATTTCCAAAATCGCATGCAGACTGTAATGAACAAAGAGAGCTCAGAAAAAAGGTTGAAAACATTATAATGGCTAAACTGACTGACTATGGACAACTTTTGCTATTAAGACATGTGGGAAATGCTGATATAAGCGGCCTCAACTTCATGGCAGTTTGCAACAAACAGCGTCTTGAATTTTAACCTGTTAGTTGAACACAAACCAACAACCCACAATTCTAAAATAATCATAGACTTAGACAGGACAAGAGTTAATTGTCTTAATAAGATTAAGGCAATTAAGTCTCATATTTGTGACCATATGGCACAGGAACACATAAGTACATATCTGCATTTAGATATATGGAAATTCAGAAACGGATAAACAAAAACATGGGCGATGAGATCCGTTTCTGTATTGCTCTGTTAAGCGGATTACAATATGACATTAGAGAGTCAAATAACAAACTACGTCTTTTCAAAGTTCCTTGTATCGAATATAAAAAAATAAATCATATTCTGATCTATTGTATTCTCTGATTGATCTCCTATATGGATTGGTAAACTGGCAAAGATATGATTTTTTTGCAACAGATGACTTACTAAAGTAAGTGATCTTGATTTACGAACAACTCTAAGCCTGCAGCAAAATAGACGTGTTTTTATATGAAGACAGAATGTTTTTTTGTTTTTTTTCCTTTCTCTCTCGTATGGGTTTGTTGGTGCGTTGTGTGCGGAGCGGTGCGGAGTTTTCCCTGGCAGGTTAAGCGGCGGTTCCCTTGGGATTGTTGAGCGGGGTGTGTAGTGTTGCGGAGAAAGTGGTTGAAGCTTCGGCTTGGGAGCATGGCCGTGGTCTCAGTAGTGTTGCTCGCTTGCTAGTCGCTTTGCTGGGCCAGCGGTCTCCAGTGCATAAATACCCACCACAAGTAACTGCATGAAGACTAGGGAGGAGATTAGTCAGTGGGATGGTGATAGTTAGTGGGGAAACTCCAATCAAAAAATTAGTGTTGTTCCACTTTGGACGTATAATAAACGTGGTGGTATCTGTCCGGTTTGTTTTTGTGTTTTTGTTTTTTTTCCTTCTCTCGGCGTCAAGGTCCAGTGTTGTGTTCCGGTGAGGGTTCGTTGTAAGTTAACATGGCTGACGTAGAGGCATTTATTGAAGCTCCGTCTCAGGAGTCTCTGGGCACTTTTTCAAGAGAGCAGCTGCTCTTAATTGCTGAGCATTTCTCTGTGTCTATTGTCGGTGATGGAAGGATGAAAGACAACATAAAAGACTCTATAGTGTCGACATTAAGGGAGACGGGAGTTTTTGCTACAAAGGAAGAGGGGGTTTTGTTAAAACCTCTTTTTCAGGCTAGTGCACTTTCTTTTGAGCAGCAGAGGGAAATGTTGTTGTTGCAGCAGGAACATGAAAAAATAAAGTGGGAACATGACAGGGTAAAGTACGAACATGACAGAGTACAGTGTGAACATGACGGGGTAAAGTACGAACATGACAGAGTACAGTGTGAACATGACCGGGAACATGACAAAATGAAGTATGAACATGACCGGGAACATGACAAAATGAAGTATGAACATGACCGGGAACATGACAAAATGAAGTATGAGTTGGGAATTGAAAAGGAAATCACAGTGGAGTGGATGCGACAAGAATCTGAGAAAGCCAAGATAGAGTTGGAGGGACATCGTCTGTCTATTCTCAGAGATCATTTTAAGCGTTGGTTAACTGCTCTTGAAATCGATTCTTTTGACGAATTGTGTGAACTCATGATTTTGGAACAGTTCAAAAATATTCTTCCTGACAAGATTGCTACCTACATAACAGAACACAAGGTAATTTCCGCGGCTGGAGCTGCTGTGGCAGCTGATGAGTTTGTGTTGCTTCATAAGAGCAGGTTCGGAGGACGCTCTGGGGCACTAACTGTTTGTGAAGGAAATAGAAAGGATGTTGGGAGCGATCCAAGGAAATTGAGTTTGGTAAAAACCAGAGGTGGGACCAAGTCATTGTTTTGCAAGTCCGAGTCAAGTCTCAAGTCTTTGCGCTCAAGTCCGAGTCAAGTCTCAAGTCTTTGCGCTCAAGTCCAAGTCAAGTCTCAAGTCAGGATGGGCAAGTTCAAGTCAAGTCCAAGTCCTAAACTTTGACAAAACGAGTCTTAAACAAGTCCTTATGTGCTTTTCAACAAATGTAATGACATCGATCAACAGAATAATACTTAATAATCAAACTGCTCTTTATTAGTCACATTAATCATTTAATAATCCATTTTCTCTCTGCTGGTAAAGTAACGTGTTTTTTTCTATTTTAAGAGGGATCAGTAAGGTTAGGCTACCGTGACGGTTTGATTCAGAAGGAGTTCAATGCATAAGAGCGCTGATGTTGAGGTGACCAGAATGTTTATTTCCACTGTGTACAGCATGTTATAAGGGACCCACAATCTATCTTTATGCAAGGGATAATGTGCAGCGAGGCGTCTCTATGGGGAAAAGAACACCTGCATCTAGATCCCTCTGCAGGTGGTACTTTAACTATATTTTGATGATAATACTTTTCTACTTTTACTTGTAACATTTTGAATGCAGGACTTTTTATTGTAACCGAGTATTCCTACACTCTGGTACTTTTACTCAACTACAAGATCTGAACTTCTCCCACCTCTGACAATAAATCCTGAGTGGTTACCAAAACAAAACCCTGCTCTGAAGGTTATTTTCATTTGACAAATCCTGCACTCAGCTTTGCTTTCTCCAATATCATTGAAATGCAGCCAGATGCTGCTTCTTTTTTCGGTTTTCGCTCATTTCTTGACTTTTTCCGACCAACCGGGTCAATTTGACCCAGAGCTGTTTTTTTTTGTGTGTAACTTTTTTTCAATAAAATATTAAAGTCTTCCAGTCCGTGACTTTTCCTGAAAGTGTGTTATGTAGCACCAGTGGCGTTTTTATATGTACAAAAGTGGTGGGGCACAAAAAACTTAGATGTCTATATATAAGCTTCTGCAGTGACGTGCAGTGAGGTTCATGGCTGGTGAGGCACTGGCACTGACTCTTCAGGTTTACAAATATTATATTTTGACCTAAACCAAAATATAATATTATTTTCAAAAGCTTTTTTTGTCTGATGCTTCGATTAATTTTAAACAGACAGTTCAACAAAAGGATACCCAAAAAATGTCATTTTATCATTTAAATATTGAATTGTTCTCTCTTAGTAAGATCCCATTTTCAATAAAATGGCGGTCTTACCTTGACTTGAAGATGAAGTCCATTTGCCTATCCTTCTGGACAAACATTTCTATTACTTTTTTGTAAAAGTCCTCCTTGTCTTCTTGTAGTTTCAAAAGTCTATCATAAATCTAATCCATAGATTTATGATAAAAAAATTATATAAGTAGGGTAGACATGTGGATGTTATCCGGCTAATCAAAACGTGCATTTATCTAACAGGTACGTTTCCCACAGATCTTATTTCAAGCTATTTTCTAAAATCCTCTGGAGAAATCTCATTGCTTTTTTGTGCTTACTTCCTGGTTTTAGGACGCGCCACTGCAGCTCTCTCGTCTCCTCTTCACACAGCACACTTTTCGCGGCACACGTACTTACAGCCAATCAGCTCTGAATGATTTGAGATGACGTATGGTGGGGATGGTAGCTCCATGCCCCTCTGGTCATTATTTTTTTGCCACACACATTTCATTACAAAATACTCTGAGCATGCGCAGTGAAGTTTTTACAGTCACCGTTGACTTCACAGCGAGAGGAAGGGGCATAATCAGGTTTTGTCCCACATGGCTCTAAACCAGGGGTTCCCAACCTTTATTGTGCCAAGGACCGGTAGATACATTAAAAAAAAATCGCGGACCGGTTGTCAATTTTAACTGATTTTAATATTTACTCACCACCAGCAGGTAGCAACAGAGGCTAATTGTATGTAACAGCCTGAACAAATACTAGAACAATATGCATCCAAAACATATTAACAAAGTTTAAAAAAGAACCGACGTTATTCAGTTTTTAAACCAAAACGGTAAAACAGATAAATCAACGTTTTGGTTTTGTTTGTATGATTTACGGATAATCCAGTGAATGCTGGGAAAACGAGGAGAAGGCGCATTATGAAGGGTGTGTGTGTGTGTGTGTGTGTGTGTGTGTGTGTGTGTGTGTGTGTGTGTGTGTGTGTGTGTGTGTGTGTGCGCGTGCGCGCGCGTGTGTCACTGGCATTTGTTTTCAGAAGATATTATGATAGTGTCGTTCGTTCCGGTGCACTCCCGACAGCATAGCACTACATCGAGATTAAGATTAAACTAATTTATTTTGGGAACAGCCGCATATATGCCGGTGTCGGACAGACACAAACACACCGAACACACAGAGCTGAGCTGAGCAGAGCACATACACACACACATCATGCGCCTTGGTGACTGACTGGCATCTCCTTCATAAAACTAATAAAAGGGGGAGTAATCGGGCAGTTCGATGTGTGTAGATGTGTGTGTGGTTAACACGTAGCAGCCTGCAGTCACTCTTAACCTGTTCTGATTAAGTTAAACACAGCGAAGGCGGTGCGTAAAAAGGCACAGCTCTTTACCGAGTATACGTCCCGCTGCCTCCTGATGTTGCAGCCATTTCATGAAGTGAAGGAGGGTTTCCTTCTATAAAGCAGCTGCGGGCAGCAGATACCGTGAGAGTCCCGGACATTAGTCCATAGATCAAGGCAGACTGGTTTACTCTCCTGTTTGCCAATCCGGTGCTTAAACAAATAGCTCTACACCCCTGGCCGACATGTCCTTAAAATGAAGTCCGACTTTGAAATATATCTCAAATAATGTATGCACCACCATTTCCCCACATAAACATAACAGTCTGCAATCAAACGGTTGTCTCCTGTGCGCTCCTCTTCCTACTTGGCGCACCGGTAACATGCTCGTGCGCACAAGAGGCTGAGACCTAAGGCTGAGCCGCCGAATCCCTCGGAACATCATAAAAGCCATTTTCAATGGTTTTCTGGTGAAAGATTAACTAGCTACTGGATGAAATAATATGACTGGTGGCATAGGTGCGAAAATTAAACACTTTATTTCGCGGCCCGGCAGTAACACCTCTGCGGCCCGGTACCGGTCCGCGGACCGGGGGTTGGGAACCCCTGCTCTAAACAGCTCAATAGGCACACACTGTGACTGTAAACACACTAATTAGAAGAACACAGACTAAAACAGCAATGTACAGACGAATCAGATGATTAAACATGATCTTAAAATATATTTTATATATTTTTTTATTTATTTTTTTGCATTTTTGTAATCATTATTTGTAATACTTTCTGCTGACACTAGGTGGGGCTGTGCCCCACCTGCCCCTAATGACCAGTCGCCACTGTGTAGCACCCTATGTTGTTAAAAAATGTCAATATGAAGTCAGATTGAAGAAATCGCCCAAAAAATTGCCATTTAGACCTATTTCCGCCCAGCGGGTCATATTGACCCCACCCCTTTTCATATAAACATGACGTGTTGCTATAGCAACGCCTTTTGTCTACTGCGGTTCCTTATAGATTGAGAGATAGATTGAGAGAGAGATATAGATGGATAGATATATTGATAGATAGTTATAGATAGAGAGAGAGAGAGAGAGAGAGAGAGAGAGAGAGAGAGAGAGAGAGAGAGAGAGAGAGAGAGAGAGAGAGAGAGAGAGAGAGAGAGAGAGAGAGAGATAGAGACAGTCTGTAGTGAAGGAGTGCGATCCCGCTCACGGGAGACTGCTCGCGCTGAGCTCCGCAGCAAACAGCTGTGGGGCGAGTTGAAAGTACGTTATGCTGGCCGCGGTGTCTAAATAATGCTTCCGGGCCAGCGGGCCATTTATAATGTCGAGCCCTGAGAGTCCACAGATTATATTGGTATACGTTTCATCCCTGTGCGATCAAAACTCACTGTTCAATAAAAGAATATTTTACCTTGAAAATCAATGCATTCTAATAGCGGGTCAATTTGAAAGTCCCGCCCCTGCCTGCTTGGATTCACAGCAAGAGTTGGAGCGGCTGAAGATTCTGCTCTCCCCGACGCGAGTCTGCTCTTCTGAACGGCAGCTCGCGATCGGCGTGTTGGAGACCTCTGAATTAAATTATCAAGTCACCTCAAGTCAGAAGGCTCAAGTCCAAGTCAAGTCCCGAGTCATTAGTGTTCAAGTCCAAGTCGAGTCGCAAGTGTTTTGTGATTTTGTCAAGTCGAGTCCAAAGTCATCAAATTGGTGACTCGAGTCTGAATCGAGTCCAAGTCATGTGACTCGAGTCCACACCTCTGGTAAAAACTAATGTGGACAACATGGTTAACATTGATAATTGCCACTACTGTTGTGAAAAAGGCCATTGGAAGGCAGAATGTCCTGCGATTAGAGCAAAATCTGAGGGAGGAAGATGTTTTGTTGGGCCTGTTGCATTGGCTGTGCCTGTGAAAAGCTGCTGTGTTGCCGATGTGCTTAAATTCCACTTATGTGGATCTGAGGTTTTGGCATCTTATACTCCATTTATACGAGACGGCTTGGTGTAATTGGTAGGTAGTGATTCAGAGTTCCAATCAAAATCTTGCGGGACACAGGGGCTTTTGACTCCTATATTGTTGACTCTGTTTTGCCGTTGTCTGGTGAAAGTGACACAGGTGACACAGTTCTGAGTTGGGGGATGGGATTACAAGTTTTTCCTATTCCTGTTCATAAGGTGTATATTGACTGTGGCCTTGTTAAAGGTGATGTAGCTGTTGGTGTACGTCCAGCTTTGCCAATCGAGGGGATACATTTTATTCTGGGCAACGGTTTGGCAGGTGGCAGAATCTGGACTGATGTTCCCCCTGCGCCTTTAGTGACTGGTGGTCTGATTGAGTCTGGGTTTGAGGAGAGCTCTACAGTGGTGCCAGAGGTCACGTCCTCCTGCGTGGTCACGCGTGCTATGGCCAAAACTATGCTGTTTAGAAACCAGAAGACCAAGCATTGCTCCACTGGTCAAAGTGGTCGTGGTGGTGGCGGCTTTGATAGTGGTGGCGGCGGCTTTGATGATGGTCGTGGCGGCGGCGGCGTTGATGGTGGTCGCAGCGGCAGCAGGGGTCGAGGACGTGGCAAGGACATTTTCTGTTATCGGTGTGGAGACCAAGGACATATGGCCAGGGACTGTGACCAAACTGAGGATGTGTGCTACAACTGCAACAAACCAGGCCACATGGCTCGTGACTGTGTGCATGCCAACGAACGGAGGTGCTACTACTGCGGTGGGCTTGGTCACATCTGGAGACGTTGTAATAAGGTGAAATGTTACAGGTGTGGCGACATTGGCCACGTTGCGGTGCATTGCAGTAAAGCCAGTGAGGCTAACTGCTACAACTGCAGAAAGGCGGACCATCAGTTAACAGTTTGCCCCGAGGAAAATGTGCATAACTTATATATTTGACTGTAATGTATTGTCTTTCATGCTGTTTGTGGATCTTTCTTGCTCTGCCCATCTTTTTAAAGTGTGCTTCTCAGGTACCTGGGTTGCTAAAGATGTGGCTGGGTGTTGGAGGCGCGGTTGGCAGTATGAGGGTTCGCTGATTGAGGACACCTGTCTGCTGGCACCAGAGGATTTAAAGGCCTGAGCAGACTCTCGATCTCTCTCCCCCGCAGAGGACCTGACCGCGGAGCAGCCACGTCGCTTAGCCTTTTTGCTTTTCCTTTGTGTTATTTTTTTTGGTTTACGTTAAACTTTTGTTAATAAATATATTTTTCATATATGTTCTTGTCCTTCCCACGCTTTTTGTTATGGCCAAGAGCCAGGCCATGACAGAAATCTTTGCCGGACGTTTATTCTTGTCTTGGCTGTTTGTCCCTGTATTACTTGGTCTGGAAACTACAAACTAATATTAGATTCTGTTTTATTGAAAAGCTTTTAGTATGTCTTCTACAATGTGGCTCTTTCTTCTATTGAATAGGACTATTCCACTTGACTACACCCACCTGGTACCTCTTGGGAGTCTAAACCTTTTCACAGTTAATTACTACATCTCTTGCGCTGTCAAACCAGTCTGTTTATCTCAGGATCACAGCCGCCATCGTGATTGTCGGCTTAGAAAAAGGTCTGCTGTCAATACAGTGTGTTCTGATACATTTTCAAGTGTCTGGGAACAAAGCTAACGAGATAACCTGACTAGATAGAAACTCAGTCAAGTACAGACACAGATGGTTACCATACTTCTCTGACAGGATGCTCCAACAATTTTCAAAATGTTATAAAAAAAGGAAATAGTAATTGAATGTAGACTTATTTTTAGATAGCATCACCGCAAATATAAAGTAGAAGCAGCCAATAGCCACCATGAATACAAAGTAGATTTGTTGTTTTTCCAATATAAAATAAAACCTTGGAGATTGACTGAAAATCCTTTAAAGGTAGTGCTGGAATCCCTCGCCGTGCAAAGAGTCACGCCTTGAATTAGAATGCCCTTGTCTCCTGGAGGATATAAAATAAGGTCTACAGGGGTTAGGTATTTCCTAGCAGTATTTCCAACCATGAATTACTCACTGGGTGACTGCAGATTGAGGGACACAACGAAGCGCACTATTGCCATGATAGTCAGGTTCATTATGCTGGCGACACCGAAGAAAAACCCTGCCAGAGCGTAGTATAAACACAAAGCGTCTCCCCCGAGCCAGTGGTGGTTCCAGGCTGCCGCCACAGAGAGAGGGTACATGGCAACAGCTGCTCCCAGGTCTGTCACAGCCAGATTCACACTCAACAGCTCTGGTGGTTTCATCCTTGATGACCTCTTGACTGCCATGATGAGGACCAGCAGGTTTCCCACAATGGAGAGAACAGCTGATACAGAGAGGGGAGAACAAAAAGGATACAAAGTAGATTGAGTGAACAGTGATACTCTATTCAATTCACATAATGCATCCTTTACATGTAATCTTGTTTTCTTTGCTTTTAGAGTATTAGAATCTTGTTTTGCTGTCCCTATGGGCAACTCTAAAAAGTCAATTTAGCAGACACAAAATAACACACAGCTTTTTTTTCAGTTAAAAATCTGAAACACTGTTACATGCTTAGATAGAATGGATTTGAGAGGGTTTCTATTTTTAACCAGCACATAATATCATTATTGGGCCCTCAAGAGACAGACGGCGTAAATGCCAGGGGAATGCAGGTGACACATCTTGTTTAGGACAATTACGGCCTGTCCACACAGCAGCGTTAAAAAAATCATGGAGGTGGGCGTATCTGAAGCTTGGGGATTTTTTGTGAGCAAGGCACCAACAACCAATCACATGAATCTCCCGCCCGCGACATGCGAAGCAAAAAAACCCGAAGTAAACTGGATATAAACTCCCCAAACAGGCGAAAACCTACCACTGTCTCTGCCACCTCCCTCCATGCCTGGCTCCTCCGGTTTGTATCCCGGTAGGTAAATAGGGACTGGTCATAAAGCACCGGGTGATTCCCTACCGCTAATTTCTCCTCCATTTTTTGGAATATGAGGAAATGACCTGCGGTATGTCTCTCCCAGCATACACGCGGTTTGATTGGCTAGCGCTTGAACTGTCAGATTTGCATACACGGGATTTGATTGGCTGACGCTTCCACCTCAGCTTCAAAAGTTGAACATTGCTCAACTTTGAATCCTGAAAATCCTGAAAATCTCCGCTCTGCTGCCCACAATGCAGTTCGGCGAAAAGTGAGGCAAAGTGACGTCACCCCATTCAAAGTGAATGGGCAGAAGCGTTCCAAGATTTTTTAACGCTGCTGTGTGGACGGGCCGTTAAGGAGTGAGCCCCCCCGTTTGCTATCCATATCTGATATATATCTTAGGAATAGTTAGATAAAACATTTGCTTAGTATTAGCGAAAGTGCTTTTTTGGAGAGAGTTAGATTGGAATATTGAGGATGACAACGCGACAGCCATCTGTAGTTGAGCTAAGCTTAGTGTGAAAACTCAAAGCAGGGGAACACAGCTCACCTGAGTCAATTCAGGGCAAGAAAATCCACCTGTCGCACCTCATTAGCTCTCTTGCTAATGTGTATTTATTTTTGTTTGTTTAAAAGATAAGTTGTGGTTGTAATGGCGGGTTATGTGGTGGAATATTTATTGGCAGGTAGCAGTAACTTCAAGGAGCACGAAACAACCAAAGACTTCAGAAAGTCAATACGTCTATCCAAGAAATAGTCCTGACCTTAATCACCCTTAAAACTACAACTTGGTCTGATATTAAGGCCCCGGCTCCACGAGGACAAATACGGCAAAACGCATCGGAGTAACGCAAACGCAACCGCAAAAAACCTTCCGACCACACGCAATATACACCGGATTGTGTCAAGCTCCACGAGACGGCTCCGTTTACATCCAACCGCTGGAAAAGCTGCAGTACATATGCCGAACCTGTACGTGGCGCTGTAACTTCCTCCACAAAAGCAGCAACTTCCTCCACAAAAGCAGCGAAGAAGAATGGTTGTCATGGCTGCACTTCTATTTATTCTCCGTGGTGGGGGCGGAGGGAACCGCGCAGAGCTTTTTGCCGGTCAATGTGTGTTAAAGTTTAAATCTTCATGCTTCCTCATGCAGCAGCTGATCCAGTAAGTAAACCCGACAGTAAAAATAAACATATTTATAACTAGTTTAGGTAGTTTGAGAGGTAATTAAAATAGCTAAGGGTGGTGATCTGACTTGAAGTGTGTGTTTTGCTCCCGCTGCTTCACAGCCGGAGGAGCTGCGTGTCTCCGTCCTGTCAGATTAGACTTCACTCGCGTTTATGTTCATATCGAGATAAAGATAAATAATCTGAATTCGGGGGTGAGCAGCAGAGGTGGGGAGAGGCGGGGCTATGAAACGCATGACCGTATAGGCGACCCCACGGCCCCGTTGGACCCCCCAGAGCGCTCCGTTCCCAGATCTATCCACCTTTGGACCCGTTGTCGTTTGCGGGGTCTGTTTCTACGTTTCTGTTACGGCGTCGTCGAGCTTAAAGGGCTATACGCATGAGAAATATGAGGATTCAACCCATTTTCGTCCTCGTGGAGCCTACGCCTTAGTGGCCTTTAGAGGTGCCGGTATGCATTTTTTAGGTTAGTTGTTTCCTGTTGTCAAGTCTTGCTGCTATGCTAGTAGTCTCTTGGCTATAGCTTCAAATAGCTGAAGTGAAATCGGAACTTAGATAAGTAAGCAACTTAATTTAAAATGATATATATATATATATATACAAAAAAATATAGCTAAAATAATCCATTCAATATTTCTATTTTAAGCGGGCTTTAATAAGCACTATTTCCAGTAAGCTCTAGAGACAACTATGGTAAAATGTCCATGGGGTGTGGGGTCGCAAAAGTTCAGACTCTGGGGTTGGAGTTTAAATAAAGCACAGATTATAGCTTTAAAAAATGGCATTAGAAGAGAGTGATAATGATTTTTAATGGAATTAATCAAGTCATCATGACAGGAACCACCGAACAAGCATTTTTCACAAAAAGGTCAAATGAATCTATTGAGCTGGATTCGATGAAGGTTTCAAGCTCTTATTAAATGATTAAATGAACACATACAGTTGCAGATTAGTAAAATGCCAGGGACGTCTTGTAATCCTCTGAAATCCATATATCACAACACATGTAGGACAAATGCAATTTATACAGTGAGACGGGAAGTGCAGACAATCCCTTGAGACGAGCCCCTGTCTCAAGAACGGTAGATAGTGTCGAGGGAATTAAATGCTGTTGGACTCTTCTTTATAATTTAAGGTATCCTCAGGCACATTGCCATCCGTAATGTATTCAGCACAATGCTAGGCAGAACACTGAACATCTGCTATTGTATTAGCCTTCTGTGTCACAAGTTAGACACTTTTATTGTTGTTATTTTGGTTTGGCACACCTTTAACTCTCCTGTCATTTCAGATCCCGCCTTCCTCCAGGCTCTGGCAATCAGCTCACTTCCCTCACCTGGTCTCCCCAGCCCTTCCCCTCACCTGTTACTCATTTCCTCATTACTTCACAGTATTTATATCACCTCACTCTCACCTGCCCTTTGCCAGATTGTCTTGTCAGTTCTGCCAAGCTCTCCAGTGATTGCTAGTCACTAGCCTATATTCCTGTCCTGCCCGGTTTTGACTACTACCTGCCTGTAATCGGACCTCGAGTTCTCTGCCTGCTCCCTGCTCGGATTGTTTGCCTTTCTGCTGGATTTCCTGGTTCTGACCCTGCCTGTCCCTGACCGGAATAAACGGAACATTTATGAAACACTGCCTGTGTCTGAGTCGTGCTATTCGGTTCTGATCTGTATCTGTGAGCGTGACAGTACAATCTGGCCAACATGAACCTAGCCGACTCAGCGACAGAGCCGCCGACGCAAGATGTCATGTTACAACGCCACGAGCAGCAGCTTACCTTCATGGCTGAAGCTATGCAGGCGATGGCAGCTCGTCACGAACGGACCTTTGAAAATCTCCGTGATCATCTTCTGAACCGTCCTCCTACGGTCCTAAGTCCGGATCTAACTCCAGCTTCCGCTACTCGAGTCCAGACTCCTCCGGTGTTGGATGCACGCTTGCCTCCTCCGGAACGCTACTCCGGAGCCCCAGGTTCATGCAGACCATTCCTGGTCCAATGTTCCCTCGCCTTCGAGCTCCAGTCTTCCGCCTTCCCAACAGAAAGGTCTCGTGTGGCGTATATTGTCTCTCTTCTCACGGGCAAAGCTAAAGACTGGGGTACCGCCGAATGGGAGAGACAATCCCTTGCCTGCTCGTCTGTAAGCTTATTCACCGATGAACTGCGGAAAGTCTTTGATCACGCTACACCCGGAAGAGAGATAGCTCGGGGACTGTTTAACCTGGCGCAAGGAGGCAGATCCGTGTCAGAAACAACTAACCTAAAAAATGCATACCGGCACCTCTAAAGGCCACTAAATATCAGACCAAGTTGTAGTTTTAAGGGTGATTAAGGTCAGGGCTATTTCTTGGATAGACGTATTGACTTTCTGAAGTCTTTGGTTGTTTCGTGCTCCTTGAAGTTACTGCTACCTGCCAATAAATATTCCACCACATAACCCGCCATTACAACCACAACTTATCTTTTAAACAAACAAAAATAAATACACATTAGCAAGAGAGCTAATGAGGTGCGACAGGTGGATTTCCGCCGAGAGTAACTGGAATGCTTCTTCACTCCTCGATGCCTTCTACAACGGTCTGTCGGATCGCCTTAAAGACGAGCTGGCAGCTCGGGATCTTCCTGCGGACTTAGATGAGCTGGTGGCTCTCTCCATTCGCATTGACAGCCGTCTTCGGGAGCGGAGGAAAGAGAGGGTTTTCTCCTCCGCTTCTCAAGCTCCGCCTCTTCCATCTGCGCATGTTACTGAACAGGTGAGAGGAGGATTTTCTAACTCTCCTGAACCAATGCAGCTGGGGCGGACCCGGCTCTCAGAGGCAGAACGACAGCGCCGCCTGCAGGAAAACAGCTGTTTGTACTGTGGCCAGGATGGTCATTTTGCCTCCTCTTGTCCTGTAAAAGGCAGGGCTCACCAGTCATCCAGAGGGCGCTGGTGAGCCGAATTATGAATTTAGAAATGCCCTCTCGACATCCATGCTCAGCTGAGCTGCTCTGGGAAGATGCACACTGTGGCAGTTCTTATTGACTCTGGTGCTGATGCCAGCCTTTTGGACATAACACTGGCCTTCCAGATGGGACTTGGTCGGGAAGTTTTGGAAAAGCCCATCAATGCTACTGCTCTAGATGGCCGTCTTCTCTGCAGAGTCACACACCGTTCAACTCCTGTTCAAATGAGCATGTCAGGTAATCACAGCGAAACACTCTCTTTTCACCTTATCCAT